GGGTGAGGGGGGGGGGGGGGTTTCCCATCATTTCCACCTAATCATCCTTGCGTATGCAATTGTATCACAACATTTCAATTATGGACTCAACAACCTTGCCTAAGAAAATTGCAAGCATTTAGCCTAAAGTAGCCTCAAGTGCAACTATTGTGGGAGCCATTGTCGTGGAAAGTGCACCATGCATGACCCCAACCACAATTGCTATAGCCACAATGTGTTTTTTTTTTTTTTGGAAGAAGAGGTAACTGGAAAGAGGGAACATGTGTCCTTTATACCTGTTGTAGAGCCTAGGTTGGTTGCCTCATAGTCATTCATACAACAGCAGATAGAGATGGTTGTAGATGGCATCATGTATCTTGTTTCTTGACAGTTGGGAGACATTGTTAATCCCATGGTGAAGAATGCGATACAAAAAGCCTAGGAAAAGGACCATAGGGTTCCCAACATGAAGCATCAAGAATGTTTATGCATAGGAACCAACCTTACCATTCATTGTCATAACCATTGTCGGGACAAACCATAGTTGTTGACCCTATGGTTCCATTATGTTGTTCAACAGATTCCTAAAGCCTTATTTGAATCATCTGCCTACCTTTAAGCCCTAGCTACTTTTGAGCCCTATAATTCCATTATGTTGTCCAAGGAATTGTCATGTAGACATGTGCCACAACTACCCTAAGAAATCCACTTCTAATATGGATTAACTCTAAGCTTATGACTTCATCCCTAATCGACCCTAATTTGATAGCAAAGGCTATCGCGAAACACTTTAGCTAGGGTTCAATTGAAGCCAATTGATAGGCTAATTACTAAAAGCCTTACCCAGTTTGGGTTGACAAAGTTGTAACACCCTATTTTTCAAAATTATAATAATTGTTGTTTAATATATATTTTATTTGATTTGTTTAATTAATTTTCTTAATTGGGATTTAAAAATAAATAAAGGATTTTTAGAATAGTAGTAGTAGTAGTAATAATAATAATAATAATAAATATGTTACGAGTTTAGTGTGTTGGCTTAGTGGGTTTAGCGAAAGGTTTGGGCTTTAGAGGCGCAACCCAAAGCCTAACCTAATTATTAACAAACCAAGGGTACAAGAGTTGGCTCATGGGTTAGTTTTCAAGTTCTAGATTCTTCTAACACTTGAGAGAATTCTTGAAGTGCTATTGGTAAAGGAGCTCTCAGTAAAGGAGCAAGGGAAATAATAATCAAATTAATCAATGAATCACGTTTTGAAAGGTCTTGTTATTGTCATTTGAGGTAACAAAGAGATTGTGATTATCTTTATGTGTGGAATATATCAGAATTATGGGTAGTGAGGAAAATCCTAAACTTCTCGAGATTTCTTGTTCTATACTTTTAATTTGTTGTTTTAGTTTAATTAGTGTTGTTGTATGATGGTGAATTTGGTGGTTGATGCGTTGATTTGTAAATTTATTATATGTTTGTCTCTTTTAAGAATTAGGGTTTGTGTGAGTGAATTGGGAATTTTGTGTGATGTGGGTGCTTAAGTGCAAATTCAAGATATATAAGTGTTCTAAGGGTGATTTGAGAGTGTTTCATTGATTGATTTTGGATTGAAATTATTAAGAAATGGTTTGGTGGAAGGTTAGAAACCCAAAAATTGTAGAGTATCACGATTTGGACAATCATGGATTGTTTAAGCAACTTTAGACTCATTAAAATGAATCTCAAGTAGAAACTCGCTTAAGTGAAACTAACTCACTTAAGCGAATTGAGTGTCTCACTTAAGCGAAATAATGCCTTGCTTGAGTGATTAACTCGCAAATTTTTCTTTTGTGGTCCTCATAAAAGTTATAACCCTAGATGTTAGCTTTTAAATTTCGTTGGAATAAACCAAAATTAAGGTATAGAACTCAAGTTATGGTCATTTTAGTATCACAAGTTGAGTTGTCAATATTGGGCAAAAATGTTACAGTTTTTGTAATTTTAAGCATAGTAGTTGATAAAACTAGAAATGGAGGTTAACATAAGAGTTGTATACAAATTTCCTTAGCTTTCCAACAAAATAAAGATTAACTTGATTGCATATGTATAACTCTAGATATCATGTTTAAATCACATGAGGTCATAGAAGCTTAAAATAATAAATAACGGCTAAGAAATTGTAATGGTTAGTTATTTTATCCTTTAAGTGATTAATTTTGAGAATGGTTTGAACTACTTATATCAATAGTTAATAGAGAGAAAATGGGAGTGGATGAGTTATGATGAATGTGTGAAATTATGTGCTTGAGATGTTGTGCAATTAGTTATTTGT